GGAGCGTATAATGACAAATATTTGTCATTATACGCTCCTGATATATATGTATATATCAGGAGTGAATAATAATAGATCTATTATTATTCATCCTGATAATACTACGGCAACTGTACGCGGGCTATAGTACTAGAGCTAGTCAACAGTCAACACCAGCTGTAGTAAAGTGAGATAGTTCTGCTGTTATGATCTTGGCTGGAATGCGTTTGGCTAGGCAAATGACTACTACTACTGTTCTGCCGATGGGCAACCATTACTCCTTTTATTGCCTCATATCAAAGCGTGACAATACCTTGAATAACGTCCCTGTAAATTAGAGGTGGAGAACACGTGTGGGGGGGGGGGGCTAAAACGTTTACCTTACAAGGATTTTTCACTGTATCAACTTACTTATTAATTTTAATTTTGACAGTTCTGACATGGGGTCATTATTATTTTTACACATAAACATAAAATGCAAAAGTTAACTCAAGATCATCGGTCACACGTGATCTAACATTTGTATTGCATGCATGGAATTCATCCATGTTTGTGTTCATCTTTATATTTATTATTATGTTTGATTTTGTGTAGACTCGGTAATAAAAAGCAGATGTGTTATCCGCTTTCTGGGCTGATGTGTGCACTAGGAGTAGACTCTCTCTCTACCTGTAGAGCTCAGTAATTCACAACGTCCTTTTCTGTAAATCTCGACTGTTTTTCTCGATCACTGAGCTCGTAATTACTACCATGTTACCATGTTACCCTGTTACCATTTTGCAGTGTAACTGGGAACTTTAGAGATGAAAATTGATTAACTGTGTTAAAATTACATTGTAATGGAATTCGGGTGCACAAAACAATGACGGCCCTCCTCACTGCTGAGTTACCAAGAAATACATGCAGCCATTGTGGACGTGTTTTAAATAGTACGGTTTAGTAAAATTATTAAAAAAATAATAAACTATCCACTGCCTATGTAGAGGTACAGTAGTACCTACAAGTACTTGCCTGTAGGTACAGTTGCTAAAAGCCAGCTGAAATCTGTTTGAAGCACTACAAAATCTCGACCAGGTATCGATAATCATTCAGTGCTCATGAGCCTTGCTATTGTAGTGCTGAGGTATAAGGACACGAAAAAACACTTTGTTCATTTCTCTCTCTCTCTCTCTCTCTCTCTCTCTCGCTCTCTCTCTCTCTCTCTATCTCTCTTTCTATCTCTCTCTCGCTCGCTCGCTCGCTTCCTCCCTCCCTCCCTCCCTATCCTTCTCTCTCTATCTGCCAGGCTGACGGTCTATCTCTCTCTATCTGTCTTTTCCTCTTTCTCTTCTTCTCTCTCCTTCTCGCCCTCTCTGTGTCTCTCTCCATAATATTTATGTAATCATTGTCAATAATGACTCCTAATATGTATACTATTGTACATGTTACTAATACTATTGCACTAATGGTAATTGCTACTGACAAGTTTAAGGAAATACTGACAGATCTGAGACAGGGTGGCATGGCATCCTCTCTGATCTGAACTCGTCTGATCCAGCAGTCTGTCACGTTCTCAAGTCCTCGGTGCATTGCCTTACAGATGAGCACGTCGGGCGGCGGCGGCTACTGCGACTGTGGCGATGAGGAGGCGTGGCGAGGGCACCCATTCTGTGACATCCACCAGGTCGGCGCCGTGGCGGATGAGGACCAGGTAACGACGCGTGGGTCGCGCGGGGGGTCGCATGCGGTGTGCACACTGTTCAACGTACTGCTGGTTCAGAGATAGATGCAGTTAAATGCTATAGAGTGTCAGATGGAAATGCGCACACGGGGGGTGGGGCAGGGATGCGAGTACGGGTATGATTGCGAGGCGAATGCATGTATGGTTAAGTAAGGCAATGTAAGCCAATGTAAGGCAATGTAAGGCAATGTAAAGTAAGGCAATGTAAGGCAATGTAAGGCAATGTAAGGCAATGTAAGGCAATGTAAAGTAAGGCAATGTAAGGCAATGTAAGGCAATGTAAGCCAATGTAAAGTAAGGCAATGTAAGGCAATGTAA